CCACTTTCCTGCGTGAGTGGTGTAGAATCTGCTTGATGCATGAACGTCTCCAACCCTTCCAGAAATTCGTTCGTCACCCTCCCGTTATTATCTCTGTGTGAATACATCCACTGCCGCAACTCGAAAATATTTCCCGGACCGGACATTTTTTTGTGTTTGATCAAGCTTATAGCTGTTTTTTTTGGTGTGTTTCAAATGAGTCACATAAGGTGGTATTTATAGAAAATTTTGAATCTGAGCATTTACTAGGAAATTGCTAGGAAAAGTAGGTACAAAACATGTGTTTTATTTAAATTCGATATTTCCTATCTATTTCCTCCTAATTTCGTAGTAAAAAACTATTTCCTCCTAATCTCGTAGTAATATTTTACTACGCCTTTACGAGGAAAGCGTTTACAACGGCCTTACGAGGAAAGTACTTTTTCCTCGTAATCTCCTCGTAAATTTACTAAGGTCTTACGAGGAAAGTGTTTCCTCGTAAGTTTTCGAGGAACTTACGAGGAAATTTGCTTTCCTCGTAAGATCCTAGTAAAGGCTTAGTAAATTTACGAGGAAGAATTTTCCTAGTAAAATTTCCTAGTAAATGTTTTGTTTTCTTGTAGTGAATATCTAACTGATATACCAACTATACAAAATGTTTAATATTGCTTAAAGCTGCAATCACTCACATCCACAAACTTTCACAACTGCAACCATTGCTTTAAGTCATACGTAAATCATATAGGTTATTTTTTTCTTACTTGTATTTGATCTTATATGATCATTTTTATCAATTATCGTCCTTGAGATAAAATATTAGTAAGTTTTAATAATTCTGATTAAATCCTATATTAATTTAAAATATATAAAATTACCATTTAATTTTCTTAAAAATAACCATTTAAACATTAGTTGGTTTTGAATGGAAGTTATGAATATGTGACTGGATTGAGTTTTTTTTTTAATATCCACTAGCATATATTTAAATTAGTTGAATAAACAAGAAAATAAATGCACCTGCTACATTTAACTTTTTCTTAATAACAATACTAATCTTTATAAACATTGAACAATTTTGTATACCAAAATATTAATCTCAACCCTAAAATTCTACATTCTAGAGTGGAGAAAATACTAATTACTAATCTTTCTGCACTATAGTAAACTCAGCTCAAAAAAATTCACAAAAGGTGTGAAGAAAATACTAATTACTACTATACAACTCTACAATGCGTTTTTTTTTTTATACCGACCGTGTACTCGATTGCCACCGTTTAAATTTCGAAATAGGCAATACACAAAAGGACATAGACAAAACTACTTCTCACTTATGTATGCTTCATCTTATTTCCTTTTTTCTCAAAATTTGGCTCTTTTCCCACACTCCTTGGTTTCTTACAATACATTGTCTTCTCGAAACCATAACTATCTTGATACTCATCCACCGTTGATCTACTACTCATCTCTCGTCTTCCATGACTCATGTACGGACAAGATTCAAGATCACAATACATAAAAGACTTCACTCTGATTAACAAACATATTTTATCATCTTGGCAGGAAAAAGTCTTGATTCGAAATTTGAGCGTGCTAATGGTTTAATCAATTAAAGCGACAAAGAAAAGCAACTTTATAAAATCAGTAGTAATCAGTGGATTTATACCATTCTTGTCCATCGCTTTTGAGTTTTAAGCAAACACTTTTTTTTTCTTATAAAAGAAAAAAAGACACCAACTTTAAACACATCGAACGGTAAAGAATCAATCTTGTTTGAACTAAGATTCATAGCCGTTTACATGTTTGACCAAACTGCTTACAAAATGGTCCACACACTCTCTTTCCACTACAAAGTAGCAGTCTTGAAAACCCAAAGCTCTCTCTCTCTTTGTCTCTCAGAAGTGGGCATGGCTTCATTGAGATTTGTTCATGTTCTCTTCGTCTTCTTTAAGCTGTTTCTCCACTGTCATTGTGGAACATCTCTCTCCGGCTCTTCTGATGTGAAGCTTCTTGTGGGAAAGATCAAACCTTCACTTCAGGGAAACAGTGAGAGCTTACTCTTGTCTTCTTGGAACTCATCTGTTCCTGTCTGTCAATGGAGAGGGGTAAAATGGGTATTTTCAGATGGGTCTCCTCTTCAATGCACAGACCTCTCTTCACCACAGTGGACTAACTTCTCTCTCTACAACGACTCCTCTCTCCACCTTCTCTCTCTCCAGCTCCCTTCTGCTAATCTCACTGGCTCACTCCCTAGAGAGCTTGGTGAGTTCTCTATGCTTCAAAGTGTGTTCCTCAACATCAACTCCTTGAGTGGGTCAGTCCCTCTTGAGCTTGGTTACACTTCTTCTCTCTCTGATGTTGATTTGAGTGGTAATACACTAACTGGGGTCTTGCCTCCATCAATTTGGAACCTCTGTGATAAGCTTGTCTCCTTAAAGCTTCATGGTAACTCCTTGTCTGGGGTCTTGCCTGAGCCTGCTTTGCCAAACTCAACTTGTGGTAATCTCCAAGTTCTTGATTTGGGTGGTAATAAGTTCTCAGGTGAGTTCCCTGAGTTTATTACCAAGTTTAAAGGTCTGAAGTCACTTGATCTCTCAAGTAATGTCTTTCAAGGTTCTGTACCTGATGGTTTGGCTTTATTACAACTAGAAAGTCTCAATCTTTCTCACAATAACTTTAGTGGGATGTTGCCAAGTTTTGGTGATTCCAAGTTTGGAGTAGCATCTTTTGAAGGGAACAGTCCTAGCCTTTGTGGGTTGCCTATGAAGCCATGTCTAGGCTCCTCTAAGTTGAGTCCTGGTGCTGTTGCTGGTCTGGTGATTGGTTTAATGTCTGGAGCAGTTGTTGTAGCTTCCTTGTTGATAGGGTATCTGCAGAACAAGAAGAGGAAAAATAGCATAGAGAGTGAAGATGATTTAGAAGAAGGTGATGAAGAAGATGAAATAGATGGTAGTGGTGAAGGGAAGTTAGTTGTGTTCCAAGGTGGTGAGAATCTGACATTGGAAGAGGTTTTAAACGCAACGGGGCAAGTCATGGAGAAGACTAACTATGGGACAGTGTATAAGGCAAAGCTTAGTGATGGAGGGAACATTGCATTGAGGCTATTGAGAGAAGGTACTTGCAAGGACAGAAGCTCTTGTCTGCCTGTTATAAAGCAGTTAGGACGAATTCGACACGAGAATTTGGTTCCTTTGAGAGCTTTCTATCAAGGGAAGAGAGGAGAGAAGCTTCTCATCTATGACTTCATTCCCAACATAAGCTTACATGATTTGTTGCACGGTAGGTAACATTCATCTTCTTCTCATTGATCAGTTTGTGTTTAGTATTCTAATTTGTTGTTTGAATGATTGTTACAGAAAGTAAACCAGGAAAGCCACCTCTGAACTGGGCTAGGAGACATAAGATTGCTCTGGGAATAGCGAGAGGACTTGCTTATCTTCACACTGGACAAGAAGTTCCTATCATCCACGGCAATATAAGATCAAAGAACGTGCTAGTGGACGACTTCTTCTTTGCAAGACTCACTGAGTTTGGTCTTGATAAGATAATGGTGCAAGCAGTAGCTGATGAGATCGTCTCACAGGCGAAATCAGACGGCTACAAGGCCCCAGAGCTTCACAAGATGAAGAAATGCAACCCGAGAAGCGATGTTTACGCCTTTGGGATCCTTCTCTTGGAGATACTAATGGGTAAGAAGCCTGGAAAGAGTGGGAGAAACAGTAGTGAGTATGTGGATTTGCCTTCTTTGGTTAAAGCTGCGGTGTTGGAGGAGACGACGATGGAGGTTTTCGACTTGGAGGCGATGAAAGGAATCAGGAGTCCAATGGAGGAAGGTTTGGTTCATGCGTTGAAGCTAGCAATGGGATGTTGTGCTCCTGTTACAACGGTTAGACCGACCATGGAAGAGGTTGTGAAGCAGTTGGAAGAGAACAGGCCGAGGAATAGATCAGCGTTGTACAGCCCGGCAGAAACGAGGAGCGACGCTGAGACACCATGCTGAGTTTGGTTTCTGTTATAGAAAGCTTTTTTCTTTTTTGTAATTCTTCTTGCTTTTGTTGGTTATATGCATTTGTTTTCATAGGAAAGGAACCATTCTGATTTTATTTTTATGGTAGTTATCTTTGTCAATGACAATGGTGTAACCGAAGTAGAAGAAGCTAATATGATGAATCTACTTCAGTTATCCTGTTCGGTCTTGGTTTTGAGGGTTATGTAATTAAGTAACACGCATACTAATCCTGCATCAATATCAATACCATTAAAAAAATATCATTTTCGTTGATCAAATATAGATGACTGAGATTGAAGAAATAAAAAAAAGCTCACTTGCCGTTGGTTGAGCTCTCAAACGTTAGCCTCTCTGTTTCATAAGCTCTGTAATTACACAAAGATGCGGATACAAAAAGTTGTATGCTTTCACTACCAAGAGGTAGCTAGGAACATCAGTTTTCCGATTTCTATGGTGAGTGTTATCCTCATAATTTCTCGCGTATAGTTTAGTTTGGAATATGTTACTACTTTAGATATAGATGGTCAGATAACGAGTTCAAATAAGCTTAGTACCATTTTTTTTATCAAAAAAAAAATATGTTACTACTTTATGAATCATGTTGAAGTTTGCATTTTTTATTTCTTTGATTCTTTACTTAAATCGGAGATACACCTAATTTAAGTTGTGTAATTGGATTTATAGACGAGTAGATTTTTTTTTTTTTTTTGGTAATCATGTTAAATTCATACATTTTCTGAGTTTACATGTTGGTTAGCAACTTTATTACAACAAAACACAAAACAACCCAATACAAGAAGAACAAAAAGAGAAGCCATATATGAAGAAGTAACATATTCCAATGGATTTGTAGCCTCGAGGTCGATAAAGAATTCAGTTAGCAGTGCTTGTGCGCACGAATGCCATATATGAATTCTCCACTAGAGGATGCCTAGATGGTGGTTGGGAGTGAGTGAGAACTTATCTGGCAACTAGTAACTTTGCTAATTATGTTTGCGCTCATTGGATGTCGTGTCTAGGCCTGAGCATTCGGAGTCCCAATCGGATTTCGGTTTTATCTAATCGGGTTTTGTTTTTCGGGTTTATCAAAATCAGCCCCATTCGGGTTATATAAAAATTTTGTTCGGGATCGGTTCGGATTCTAGCGGGTTCGGGTTGGGGTTAGTAAATCTTCAAAAAACCAGTATAACCCGTTTTACTTTCTGGTTCGGGTTCCAGTTGTTTCTTCAGTTTAAAAATACCTGATTTATATATACTTTGTAACCAAAAAAGTAGAATCGGTTCTTCGGATTTAGAGTACATGATTTGTACCTATTTTGTAACCAAAAAATTAAGTAAAATTGATTTGAAAATAAGAAAAGAATTAAACGTGACCCTTCGAAATCAAATGAAAGGTAAACTTAGTTATTGATTGAAAGAAAACCAAATAAATGAAATTATAAAACGAAAATCAAATTCTTAAGAAATGAGAAGCATCTATACTATTATTTGCGAAGTGATTTTTCGCAACGAAACTCTCACGTTAAAAGTTAGAGTGGTTAATATCGATTATACCCTTAATGAATTTTATATAATTTATTATATAATTAAAAACAAATTTATAATAATAATATTAGATTTATATGTTATAGTAGATTATTCATTATAAATTAATATGATAATTTTTAAAATAAATACATATTGCAAAAATAAGATAATTCTTATTGATATGGTCTTGTTATCTTGAAATAATATTTTTCTATTACAAACATTTAAAAATTGACTATGATAATTGCCAAAATTAATACATATTACAAATAAGATAATTTTTATAGATATTGTGTTGTTATCTGAAAATAATATTACTTTACTTCAAATTAAAAAATATAAATATAAAACAATCTAAATTAAATATTACTTAATCTATAACATTTGTATAATGATATTTTCTAAAATATTTCTAATATGTGGATTTTTAATTTCAATTTCAACCTAAAATATGTGGGCATAATATATATTTCGATAAGAAAATGTTATCATATATAAATAATTTGATTTCAACTTTTTGAGAACATAAATAATATTTATTTTTAAGAAAGCATAACTAATTGTTTATCATGTTGATTGATATTGGTAAGAATATTATGCCCGCATTGCGAACACAACACCTAGTTATTCAATAAAAACAAAACCAAAATCTAAAAACTTTAAGCTTCACCCGCCATCTTTAACCATCAATTTTCATGTAACAAATATTTATTTTAGATGTTCAATAACATCTTAAAGTATTTTGAATATATATTAAAAATTGAGATCATGTTTTTTTGGGGGGATTTTGAACATTTCGGGTTCTATCGGATATCCATTTAATTCCGGGTTCGGTTTGGATAATACCCATAACCCGAAATACCATAAAAAAGATTTATTCAGTATTTATGTCGGATTCAAATCAGTTCGGATTCATTTTTATCAGATTGGATTCGGTTCGAATTCTCGGGTTCGGTTTATTTGCACAGCCCGAGTCGTGTTTGCTACATATTAAGACTAGATTATGGTGTTGGAGTGATTTGTCCGAATATCTAGATCTGCATATTTAGGAAAAATCACTCCAACACCATAATCTAGTGCTAAACATGCAGTTCCAGATAATGGAATTTTGGATAGTTTGAAATTATATGAGACTGACGTTAAGATAAATGCATGTCGTTGTCGATATACAAAGAGATGAAGGGACTAATGTTACACCACTTATTCATGATCTATGGATACAGTATTAAAATTATACATCAATTGTTCCAGCTAAGCTAACCGATATGTATAATCGATAAATATGTAAAAACATGACACATATAGAGGAACCACAGAAATTGGAAATCCAACGTAAGGTAGAAAACGTCGATATATATATATATAAACGCTTTTGATTCTGTTCTGAGATCAGTGACCAGATCCATATTTGCCTTTGGAAGAGGTTGGAGTGGGTGGAGTACGCTTGCATCGTTGGTAGATGTGGCACGGAGTTAACGGACGACCAACAAAATAGCGGCTTTGCATTTGGACAGTCACTTCATCAGGATGGTTTGTCTCTTCTGCATTCATTTATACAACAGTATCATGGTTTGGTAATTCTAGTGTTGATTTGTATGTTCAGTGTGGCTAAAGCGAATTTAAAATTAAATTGGGTTGTAGGACAAATAAAATTGTTTTCTTCTTCATATCCACAAAACTTAAATTTATGTTTGAATCGAACCAAAAAGAGGAAAAACTACACCAAAAGTCAATTTTATTTGAGAAGTTAGAATTAGTATGAACTAAAAGTCTAATTCCAATCGAGTTTTTTTTTCTTTCTAAAACGATGTGTTATGTTCAGTATTACCTTTGTTATTTCGTATCATTTAATCGAAAATCCAAACAAATATTAAAAACCCAAGTAAACCTAGACTTATGAAAGACAAAAAACACTCACTGAGTTTGTGGAGCTCCGTTTCTGAGCCAAGGGATTTATCCATATGTGGAAACACAAGAAGAAGGAGAAAGAGAAGCATGCATGAGACTATGGAAGATGTCATCTTAAAATTTCTTCTTAGTTTACTTATCAGTGTGACTCATGTGACCAATTTATAGAGAACATAAAGGTGCAAATACGAGAGAGTTGAACATATGGTAGAGAATAAAAGCCAAAAAAAAGGAAAACAATGGAGAGATAAGAGAGAGGGAGTTAAAGCTATCGACGACTTAGTTGCCACTTATGGGTCTTGATGTTTTGGTAGTATTCGTGGAAAGGTCTTCGCTCGCATGTTTCAATTCACTGGTCATGTGCATTAAACTGGTCATCTTTCATTTTTATTTTAGTTATCTACTTATCTTTGTCATTGACAATGGTGTAACAGATATATTTTTTGTTTTTATAAAAAGCAGAAGAAGTGAATATGATGAATCTACTAATCATGTATTTAAAGGCACAACAGATGGTTTAGCTCCCAAGCTAGGCATTATAGGAGCATTTCTCGTTTGTCAAATATGGACGGCTGAGATGGAACAATAAGTAAAAAGCTCACTTTTTGGCCGTTGATTAATTGGTCGAGCTCTTGAGACGTTAGTTCTGTATATAGGCTGCTAATTTTACCCGAAGCCCAAACGTATATCTGAGCCAAACGTATATGTGAGACCGATCGGAAATATCCGAATCAAAATTTGAACCGAAGTAAAAAAATATCTGAATAAGTATTGAGTTAGAGAGATTGAATATTCAAAGATACTGAATATATGAATTCTATTATTCAAAATATTTACATTGATACTGCACATAGGTCAATATGAGATATTATACATATAATTGCAGAAAAAGTTATTTGCTATTCACTTAAAATGCATGTCAAGCTTATTGTTATTTTATATTTTTGATAATTTTTTAATATATGATAACAACCCATAAATCATATGTAATGTAACAATAAATTATATAATAGTATAAATATAATATAATAATTTTTACAATTTTGAAATATTATTTAATTTTATTTTGATAATTTTATAATTCTTTATTACTAAAAAAATCTTCAAAATTTCATGCAATTTTTATTTAAAATTTTTAATTTTTAAATTCTAATACGGTTAATTTATTTTTATATGAATAATTAGAAATATTATTTAGTTTTACCTTTAGATAAATTATATACCTAACAAAATGTTTTCTTAATTTTATAGAATTTGATTTAATATATTTTAACCAAAAAATAGATTAAAAAATCTTTCCATGATTATAAATTTAAATATATACATCTATATTATTAATTTCAATTCAAATAAAACTCATTTGTTTTATTTTAATTTTTACATAAAATTAAGAAATTTTGATTCTTTATATAATTTACATTAAAAAAATTATTTTTACACATGGTGGAGGAAAACACCTAGTAACATATAACAAAGAAGAAATATGTTTTACAACGTAAACTGAACGGTGTAATTCATAACTTTTATTCTCTCAACACCACTTTTTATGATGATGTTATTCAACAGTGACCAATATAAACATCGTCGTCATCGTCTTTATAGAAGGATCTTGAAGATATCAGAGTATATCATAATTATGATAAATATATTATGTAGTTATTATTTAGATTTTCATATATTTGTATTTATCATAGATTAGGAAATCATAGTAGTATATAAACATGTGTAACATAAAGCTAAGTGTTATGAGAGTCAATATACCATTCTTCCAATCTTCTACTCTCATCATTCTCAAT